CGGGTGACATGGTGATCGGCCCGGGGCCCAGCTTGCCTTACGCTCGACTTGGAAGGGGCAAGCCGGATGTTTGGCGCCGCAGGCTTCAGACGTGCGGGTGGGTTCTGAGTCAGTAATCAATCAGCAGCTACCGGCGTGCGCGTGACTTTGTTTGGCTTTGGCCATGGCTTAGAATGTCGTTTCAGGTGTTTGCCTGGGAGGCACCCTTTCGGAAGCTAGGAAGCCGTTTGGTTTCGGGCCATCACATATGAGGGTCGGAGGTACGTGAGCCAAGAACGAGCCACAATCTGAAGCAGAAATTTGACTTGTACCAAAGAAGGAATATGCGCTTTTATCCCCTCTAAGACACCCTAGGCCCCAACATCCCCACTCCCTGAGACATGGGATTGGGGGAAGTGGGGTGGCCCCTGGAATTCCATCACAGCATTATTTGATTTTGCCTTTCGGAACAGCACAATTGAAATGTGGGACGGATGCCCCAAAGTGAGCTTCAGTCATAGCCCCTCCCACATCCCCCTACCTCACTCCCTGAGTTCCTGGTCTTGGCACCTTTTGGAAAACACTTTTAGTGGCAAGCAAAACGTTTCGACTGTTGTTGGCCAATGCACTCAGGAAGTAAGCTCCTGAGGCCCGAAGAAAAAGCCTTATTGAAGGACATCCGGGCAGAGGGTGGGGCCTCAGAGGCTGCAGCCGCCACGCGGGCTCCCGGTCTTGCCGACTGCTCGCCCAACGCGTGGGCAGCGGCACTGCGCTGTCGCAGATCGTGGCGCGCTCGCTCGCGGCAAGGGGGTGGAGGTCACGGTCAAGTCACTGAGTCAGGCCAAGATCAGTGAAAATTGTAGGAATGTCCGTATACATGCACTGTAAGTATGTATATGTATAATATGCGAGTGACTCTTTACACCCTCAGCCTTTGAATTCATCCGTGAGGGAGATTTAAAAAGAACTCAAGACGTTGATTCCCTGCAACTTGGTTTGGTGTGGCTGTGACATGTTCTGGGGCCAGCCCAAACAGAGGACTTGAAACAGTTTGCCGCTTCTACTCGTTCAAGAGGCTTGGCTACTATTCTTTCCAGGCGCTATGCGGGGACTTGCCCGACACGCGGATCGTAGAATCAGACACGACCCTCCAGTGGGGGACCTCTCAACCTTACTGCCACTTACAAGCATGATGTCACCTACCTATCCAACAAAGTTGTACTAGGCTCTGAGTGCCCCAAGGGCAAGTGGGAGGCTTCCAACCACCAGCTAGTTCCGCTTGATTTTGGTGTTTCCGTTCTTTCACTCCCAAAAAACGGCGCATAGTTTGCAATCCCCACCAATCCAAACCTACTTTGTGGGAAGTTGATGTTTCATTCAGTAGTGTTTGCATTTTGTTTTAGGAACAACAAACAAAACAAAGGAAAACAACGGCACATACATTCAATCCATAATTCTTTGTGAAGCTTCATTCATTTGTTTGAAGAAGTAACATACAAACACCATACCCTAAAAACACCATTCTAGTATTTGTGCTTTGTTTTTTGGAGAAAGTCACAAGCAAACAAAGAACACACATTCAAAACACCATCCTGAAACACAATTCTAGTATTTTGGTTTTTGGATTTTTAGAGGAAAACAAACAAGCAAAGAAAAACAAAACAAGGCACCATCCTAAAACATCAGTCTAGCATTTTCGCTGTGACTTTTAGAGGAAACATAACAAGCAAGCCAGGAAACACATCCTAAAACACCATTCTAGAACGCCATTCTGTGTGTATTTTCTGACCCCCAGGCGCCTCCGTTGCCAGGCGCTGGTGGAGCGCGCCGCCGCCTCCGCGGGGGCCGCCCCGGCGCAGCGCTTCGCGGATGCCGCCGCACGCACCTTCGGCGAAGAGAACTTGGAGGGCGGGCCGCGCACGCCGTCCATTTGGCCTTGGAACGTGTTGAAACATGTTTCGGACGGCATCTGAAGCGACGCACCTGCAAGCAAAAGCAAATTCAAACTGCGCCTCCGGCCTTCGGAACATTTTTGTTCCCCTGTTGGTTTTAAAGGGAGATCACTACTGGCTAAAGGGAAACGATCACTATCACTGGACATATGTTATCGTTTTGCCGGGAGACTTCAGCAAGGAGAGGAAACCGGGGCTCTACCCGGTTTCATGGGGGTCGTGAGGCCTAAGTAAACCTGTGCCAGGTTGGTAGAGCCAACATGGGCCAACGGACAGTGGGTTTGGGGGCGCTGCTCTTTTTTTTCTCCGAATGCGGCCGAAGGGGCAGGCGTCAAAGCAGGTTTGAAGATGTATTCCTTGGAGGGATCAATTCTTTTCGGGCCTGTTGTGGCCAGCATGTAGGTGTTCCTTGTGTTGCTAGAATGCACTGATACCTACTCCCATGCAGGTCCCATGCCAGGAAGTTTGACGATGGCATGCACGTTCGGATCAATGGATCGGCAACATCACGACTGCGGTATATACTTAGAAACAACTCCTCGGATCATGCTTGGCCCTGAGCTGCGATGGTTGCTTGATGCCACTCATGCTCAAGCCAGAGGAAATCACCAAGCCGCTATTCGACACGAGAGCATGAACAGAAGAGGTCTGTTTGGAGCATCGGTTGTTTACCCCTCTTGAGGGAGTTGGCCCGCCAGTTTCCTCTTGGAGCTGGCCAGTCATGTCGCGGGGCCGTCTGCCCCAAGCTCGGGCGGCCTTGGGCATCAATGACGCCCTTATGCCCAGCCGACGCGGCAACTCGGCGAAGTTGGCTGCTGTCAAGCAGATGTTCTTGACAGCTGGATTAATTGTAGCTGGTCCCTGGTTGATTTGTTCCGGGACCCAGGGTTTGCTTGAATCCATTTAGATCAAGCTGGCGTGCACAACGGCTGTTTTCAGCGCCCGGCGAGGTTTACAGTAGCCCTCCAACTTTCAACTGAGGTGCCACGACAATGCACAAACCGAAGCCTGCAGCTGCATAAGCGCCCCAACCTATAGTGCAGCACACCAAAAGCCCCAACTGCTCTTCACGGGTAGAATCCCAAAGGCCAAAATTGTCCCTGGCGAGAGTGATGTTTGCCAACCCTGGCCTGGCTTGGTGGTGTGCGTTGTTTTCGAGGGCAGCAGCATCAGGCGTTTTGCGTGCGATTGTGATTTCAGCCAAGCTTGAGCATCAGTTCTCTGAGTTGCACACTTGCGACAAAGTCCAGTGAATGTGCGATGGAGGTGAGAAGAACAACCGCTACTTGATTGGACACGCTGCTTATGGGCAAGGGCTAACTCAATTGGACACGTGGCTGCAGCCTTCAGTCAAGCTTCTGCCCAGCTTTTCGCATGAGCATTGCATGTGTTGCGCAATCTTTGCCAACCTGATGCCTGTGGATGTTCTCAGCTTCCCGGGTCAAGGAGCATTGTGAGTTCGAAGATGCGGCCACATCATTGGAAGGCTGGCAGCATCCGGGAGGGGGCTTAGATCAGATTTCGCTTGCAGACGGGCCCAAGGTATGCTCAGGCCAAGGCTTTGACACATCCTTCAACTGCTTTGTGTTGCAAACCAAGGGCCGGCCGGAGATGCTGATTTCAAAAGGGGCTTTTGGTGAATGTGTTGCACTTCATGGCGGTTGAAAGGCACCAGCCCCAAACCTGCAACATTGAGTAATCTAAAGCAAACGTCTCGGCATGTCTCGGCGGAAGGGAAAGGTTTTTGCACTGACATGTCAGGTGCTTGGTCGGTTTGGAAGGATGTCTTCATGAACGCAGCGCGACTCGGCTTGCGGCAGCGTGTTTGCCTATATAATTACTTTATCCCAGCAATTCTGCACGAATTGCACCTCCCCCCCCCCAACAGTGGCACATGATCATGGCATTGATGCTCCTGTTTTTTTGTTTTCCATTTTTGGAGCTGAAGAAACCACGTTCGAGAGCAGGTGCTGTCTCTAGGGATGCTAAACAAGTAAGAGCTCTGACTAAGAGGAGCAGATGGATGTCATTGCAAAGCCATTCGAAGGTCCACAGGCCCCAAGCAAAGACGGCGCATTTGTTGTGCATTGTTTGGCAGAAGCCGGGGCTTCTTTTGGACGAGCCATGCTCTCCAACTTTTGTGCGTTCCCGAGTTGGGTGTGTGGGCTGCGAACACGATGATGGTGAGGTTGAGAGCTCAATATGCTCTCGGAAGCAATGTAAACGTGTCTCAGAGTTTTCTTGGTGCTTCCCTTGTCACCGAAAGCTGACTTGTAGATACGCTCGGGTGTCAGGCAGGGCAGAAGTCAACTGCATGGATTCTTGCAACAGAACCGTTTTCTTTCATTGCTTGCAATTTCACCCCCTCCTGCCCCTTTTCTCCTCTATTTACATGTTTGGTTTCGCGTCAATTTGCATCTCCGTCCAGTGCTCTCCCCGAACTTCTCCCCTGCATTTTGTTTGCGGTCATCTCACTTCCGCATGTGTGACGTCCTCTGCTTTGTTCTCCAAAGCGTTTTGCGTCTCCTCCTCGATTTTCTCGCTTTTTTGCCTGGCTTGGTCCTCTTTCCGCCCTTTCCAGCTCCTCTCTGCGCGATTCCCTTCTCTTCTCCTGGCTCCACTCTTCCCTCCGCTTCCTCAGGGACGATGCGAGCGACGACGAATCGGGTTCTGCCACGGGGGAGGACGACGAGGAGCAAAGCCGACAGCGAGATAGCAGCAACAGTGCCAGTGACACATCTAGCAGCTCAGAGCCGGATGCGCCCTGCATTGCATTGGGCATGGTTGTCAAAACTTACACGTAGCTCTGGACATGCTTGGCTTGCCGAAAAGTAGCTCTCATGCTCCCTTGAGCTCTTGGAAAGCTTGTTGCATCAATGTCCAAGCTCTTCTTGCGTAGACCTGGCTTGAAGACTGGCCAAGCAGAACTTGCTTCAGCACTACCAGCAGAGAAGTACAAGTCATGCAGTCATGTAGTTGCCATGTGTATGTTTGGAGGTCATATAGTATAATATAGGGAAGCTTGGCAGATTCATGAAAGAGCTTCCCCTACCAAAAGCCAGCAAAGCAGGGGCCACTGGACTAAGGCCCTCAGGATGTCTTGCTTTGCTCCCTGTCATTGGTGACCTTCTGATGCCATCACCTGCCTTCTCCAGCAAAAGATGCCCAACAGAAGGGAGGCAAGTGAACGAGTGACCACTACCATGAATTCTTCTACAAGTTAAAAGGGACGATGGTCTTGCACATGTCTTGGGCGAGTCCAGGCACTGCAAGGGGAAAAAGTATAGGTACTGTATGGGTCAAACAAACAAAAAAACACCCCAAGTCCGCAGGTTTTAGCCTTTGGTTCCATTTACCAGGGTTCCGTTTTGGGTACCCACGTTTGACCCACAGCCATGGCAAAGGCTCGTTATTCTGCCCGAGCTGAGGCTCCGCGCCTTGAGCGGCGGGAGCGGCGGGAGCGGCCCAAGGACTTGGCGCAGAAGCGCTTCGCGCGGCGCTTCGCGAAGCGCTGCCAGAACCAAGGCCTGGCCAGGAGGAGGGGGGGTGGCAGGGCCAGGAGGAGGAGGGGGGGGGGATGTGGCGCAACCCACAAAACCGCAGGTTCAAGGATTCTTTGTTTGTTTCTGCAAGCCGGGGGTTGTGAGCTGGCGGCCGTGTTTTTAAGCCATGGCAAGGTTATGCGGTGCGTGCAGTGACTGCAAGATCGGTCGGTGGAGGGGGGGCCTTTAGACGGTTGCTAACCAAAATCAAATAGCAGTACTTGCTTTTTGTTCAACGATGCGAAGCGTGTGAAGGTTTGGATGATCTGGAAGACTTACTGGTTTGTTTGTAGGTACTCAGAGGGAACCATTGAACCATTCATTCCCAGTTTTCCAGCTTGAATGCTGATTGCCACATGATTCATCAGAACCCGAGTCCAACAAAGTCTGAGACGGTCAGCTGGAGGAAGGCGATTGTACCCAAGGTGGACCGAACTCGGCAGAGTGATAGCCCTAAATTGTTTCTATTCAAGGCCTTTGATTCTGTGAGAGCAGGTCCCTGTTCTCGACTTCTTGCCGCTGTCAAATGTTGCCGAAAGAACCCGCTCTTCATTGGGACCAACCTTTCCGTCTATTTTCGAAGTCGCCCCAGGAACTTACAAACCTCCTATGCATATTTTGTTGGGCCCGAGCTGGGGCTTTGGTCTGCGCCAGGCGCGGGTGTTGGCGGAACGCTGCCCCCGCGCGCAGGCGCAGTCAGCAGTACGGGTGCTCCAGAAGCATCGGCAGCGCCACTGTTTCGTTTGGGCCCGCTGGGGATGTTGCGAGATGTGTTCCTTGCGCTGCGCTTGAAGCTATGGGAAGGGTTTTTGCAAACCTTTGGAAGGATGCAAATGCCTTCAGCGCTAAGCTCCTGATTAGCAGCCCGTTTTGAGTCTGGGATGCTTGAAGGCAGGCAGCGGAGTACCTGCCCAAGCTCACCAGGTATCAACACCAAGCAATGCTTTTTAATTCTGATTTCATGAATAACGCAGTTGTAGGGCAAACCTATGGCATGTTTCCTCTCCAGCATTTTCCATTGATTTATTGTTGTTCCATTTTGCTGTAATCCCTGAGATGCTGTTGCCAAGGCAATCAGTCTCAGCCAAGCGCCTTGCTGAACCAAGAAAGAGGTAAGCTACCCATTTAGCCCTTTGAACATTGGCACGGCCACCTGCTCCAAATCAGAAATCGAGCCCCAGCTACGCCTTGCTGCAAACTGAACTTACCTTTGCTGGTTCAAGCCTCGCCACGTTTTCGACTTCCGGCCGCCACATAGGCCCGCCGGCTGCTTTCTTATTTGAAAGGCGGATGATTGATATCCTGTTTCGCAACCCTTCCATTTCGGGCTGACAGGCTGAGAAAGTCGCTGTACATGTGCCTGCAGGCCATTCATTTTTTGGAAGCTTGTGCTGGCGTCGACGCGAAGGTCAATAGAAGCTAGTGATTTTGAGGGTGCCGCCAGTGGCCATTTCTTACATGGAGCATGCAATTCAGGTGAACAGCCTGTGCTGAAGGGCTTTGCAGAAGACGAAGACGCGCCGCACCAAGAGGAGGACGGGAGGCCCCTTACACGGGTGCTGTAGTGAGGTTTGTGTGTGTGTTTGCTTGGTTTTGAGCTGTTTTGGTGCAGTTGATGAGAAGGATGTAACGAAATGAGTTGCTTTTTCAGAATGAGCTGAGGTGTGAACTTGCCCTGACTAACGTTTGGAGCTGAACAATTTGAAACTCCACTGTCCCCGTCCAGTCGTGGAGGATGAGTTCTTGGGCACTTGGCCTCCCTCATCCACAGTGGACACCTTTGCCTCGGCGCTGAATGATGCGCTCATGCTGCGGGTGACGAAGGAGGCGGAGGAGGCTAGGGCTGATATCCTGGCAACCTCAGACTCCTTCCCTCTCCGTGCCCAGGAGGCCTTCGCCTGTGCTATGGAAGCGCAGGCAGCTGTCAACCGAAGTACTTGGGCGCAAGTCGTGGGACATCTGGGAACATCCCAATGTCGGACCAACAAATGGCCGTGCATTCGGCAAGGCAAGCATACTTTCAGCATGCGATGCGATTCTTTGCTGCACTCCTTTAAGGCAAAGAAGTAGAGTCGGAAGAGGAGACTGCTATGCATGACCCAGAAGATGAAGAATTCACCACAGATGCTTACAACTTGAGGATGTATAAACAGGATGTGTCTCGGATGAATTTGAGGCGAAATGCAAAGGTAAATTGTGGTTGAAGTCACGGCTATCGCAGTGGTGACCGAGTACCAAGGTTCAGATGATGACGAAAGAGCGGGAGGAGTTGAAACCCAAAGCGCCGCAGCGCGTCTTCGGCGCCAAGCCGCAGTGCCTTTGACCCGCCAACAAAGGGACCCGCGCATGCTGCGAAGCGACCGTTGGTTCTGTGGACTGTTAGTGCTTCCGACACGCCTGGTTCTCAATCTTGATTGGCAGCTTCAGTTCCACAAACTTTGAGTTTTATCATGGTTTTCATTTTGACGCTTTGAGCAATTCCCAGAAGTTCCCAGCTATGCCTTGCAGGTGGTTTGCGGGGGGCATGTCGAAGCTCAGGGATAGGATGCAGTTGAAATAGATGGTTGCGCGTGCCTCAGGTTTCATCACTTCCGCCGTCTCTTGCGCGGTTTGTGTCATTGCTATGTCCGCCTGAGGCTGGCAAGGGAAGAGTTGCCGTGATTGCCATCGGTAGGGCTTGGCTGGGTAGTGTATTCATCCTGCATGAAGACATTGTTGCAGCAGTTGTCGTGAGCCCAAAGCATCATAATTATGATTGCCCCCCGTGCCAAGCCTCATTTATATTCTCCATTCATGTGCATATTATACGTATTATATACACACGTAGTGTTCAACATGTAGATGCAGAACCTGGAACGGTACTGCTACGCAAACAACCTTCTTCTGAGGCGATCATCGCCATGATGCCATCCGTTGTGACAAGGGCAGTTTTGAGCACGCGTGAGCTCTTTTTGTAGATGAGTTTTGCAGCTAAAATCATACTCCTCCAAACCACCAGGGGAAGCCGGTTGGTGCTTTCTGCAAGGCGCTGGATTGACTTGGACAACTTCATAGCAGAAGCCGTGCAACACTTCAAAGAGGCGAACAGCCCCATGATTCCGCGCTTCCGCACAAAAGAGCGAGAGGACAGAGGGATATTGCAGGCTTATTGGCGGATTGTGTTTGTAATGTATATAGGAGATAGCCAACATTTGTAGCATGCGTATTGTGATGGAAGGAAGACGTAAAATTAGAGCTTGGCAGAGACGATCGCAAGGATTAGGGAGATGTGTAGACGGGAATATTGAAGACGGCAATGCCCAGCATGGCTAATTGGGAAAGCCCTCAGGCACGTGTGATTCCGCGGGCTGGTGAGCTTGGATCACGTGTGGTGCTTCAGGGCGGCATGAAGCGAATAGCGCATGGGGAACCGAGCCTTCACCACCAAGTTGCTAGCAAGCAGCTGAATGCCAATGGCCACTAGCACAATCCGCAATCAACACCCAACGAATCAATTGTGGTGGGCCAGTTTGAGCTTATCACAATGTGCAGCCCGCATCGGTTCACTTGATTTGTTGCCAGGAGCTGTGGATCGTCCTGCAGCTTCAAAGGGCCATAGCTTGCATTCTGGTCGGATACTCGGCAGCATTTGAAAGGGGCTTTGCCTCCACACCAAGGGTGGAGCACCAACCTGTGGCAGCCTGTTCAGCCGTTGGGAAAGGGGGGGTTAAGATTTGCCGGGCTGCCGTTCCACCCCGCGTCGAACCGAGGCAGAGAACACTTTGATAAGGCTGACAGGCTGGCTGGGGCTGGGGCCGGGGCGGGCAAGTTCCGAATTCGAAGTCAGCCGCTTTGCAGCCAGCTAGCATGTATAGTAAAAGCTCACTGGCTTCCAGAGCCAAATTGAACAATGCGATTGTTGTGGGTGTTCGCAGAAACGGGAAGGCGATATCATGCTTTACGTTGCTGACCGCGGTGCATGCAGCACCAGAGCATTTGCTTGCAGATGTTGCTTCACGGCGGCAGCTGTTGTGGGATCATGCTGTCAGTGCAGTTGGATTGTTCAATTTTCAGGCCCAGTGCGAACCTGATGTTCTTTTTGGCTGAATGGCCCTATAATATGCAGTACCGTTGCCATTTTTTGCAGAGCCAAGCTTGCTTGCAATTGTTATCACCCTATGCTTTATTTTGTTGCCAATTGGCTTTTATGCTTTTGTTCTGTTGCTCAAGTCCCTGACTAACGCCCTGGTTTGGCTGATACGACGCTTGCCTGGAGGTACCTGAATCAGGTGCGCCTTCTGCAGCCCAAGGCTCGCAGCCTGGCGCGGGCGGTGCAGAGCCGCCCGGTGCAAGTGTCGTGTGGGCCTGCGCACAGCTAGCAAAGCAGGTTGTTTGGATGGGCCAAGCGTGACCTCCAATCAAACGGATAAATGGGCCTGTGTCTAGTTGGAAGGCTGGAACTGTGAGCCGACTCGTGCCGGCCAGTGCGCAAATGTGGTTGGGAAATATAATGATTTGATTTTCTTGAACGCATGTCAGTGTCCTGCAGGCTTTGGGGCTTTGTTGTTAGTGACCACAGCTGAAGGGAAGTTCTTGATGGATCTATGACTGTCGCAAAGAACTCGGGAAGCTCAGGTACATTTGGCGGGATCTAGGGGAGGCATAGCCGCGGGTTGCTTACCCAAGACTTAGGAAGTAGAACCCTTGGAGGGGAATGGTTTGGTGAACCTCCAAACCTGGTGTTTTGTGAGCAGGCGTGTGGACTACACGGAGCAGCCAAGCAGCTTGTGTTCGCCCTGCCCGGTAGGTATTCGCTTCCTGCGGGAGCAGCTGCGCGGGAGCTCTTTGAGCGCTGACAGCGAGGATGCCCTTCTGACGCAGGCCTTGCTCAGCCTCAAGTGAGCCGCTTGAGAAATGCAGCACGGCAGGACATGGCAGGTTTGGATGGAGGGGCTGGGGGTGAACACAGTTCTGGTGAATAGCGTGACCCCGGTGGTTAGTTTGCCTTTGCAATGCATCTACGTGTTGTATTTCTCGACTGCGCTGATTCTCCAAGTGCACTCGCAAAGTCAGCGTCACTAGTCGCTCATTCTCTCCCCACCAGCCCGACCTGCACAGTTTTCTATGCACGTGTTTGTGCCATGCATGGTGTTTTCGCGCCTTTCAGTTTGACGCATTCCAAAGAAAACCGGCGCTTGTCGGATGCATGAGAAGACCTATTGCCTGCCCAGCCAAGGTAGCCGCAAGCTGTGCGAGCAACCTGAAGGTCTGAAGCCTCCACCGCCCTGGTGGCATTCGAGGGCTGGTGACATGCGCGTCCCAGACCGCGAAGGAAGCAGAAGCGAAGTGCAAAGCGCGCGGCAGAACCGCAGAGCGAAGTGACGACGCTGTGGAATCAAGTAATGCCATGGCAACATGTACTGAAGGGAGCTGTTTGGCACTCAGAAATTCGGACTGAGCCAAAGAAAGTTGGGCTGAAATTGCTTTGTGCGGGCTCAACTGGACAGACAAAGACATCTGCACAATTACTGAATTCGCGTGCTCAGCGATGCACCGGGCAAAAAGCTAGGATGGCAGTTTGCGACCTTCGTTTTGAGAGAGTGGTGCAGATGTGCTGCTTGATTTGGACTGCCTGGCCAGAGAGGCTGCCCACTGATGGATTAACTTTCTTGATTCACTGACGTCGCATGTCCAAAACGTGGGTCTTGTTCCAAGAACCCTGAGCTCCTTGTCCAGACTTGCGCCGGGACTGAGGCATTTTCGTCCCTGCTGTGGTGCTGTTGGCCGCCTTCACTGCGCTGGTGTGGTTCTGCATGGTGAGCTCTGGGAGCGTGGACATGCCCAAGAGGAGTGGCGCGAGACCATGAAATCCGTTCTCGCCGGGGTCGTTTTCAGATTTCACGTTGGTTTGGTGAAGCACACCTGCAGGGAACAGTCTGCCCACAGAAAAATGCCGGCAAACACGAGGTATCTTACTAATTGTTGCGATTGGTGCTTTCCCAACGCTGGTTCCGACATGGCTGTCTTCCATCGGCAATGCACTAAGTATTTTGATAGGGTGCTAAGGGGGAGCGGGGGAGGGGTCAAATCAAGGCAGAAAGCATCAAACGTGTACTGTTGCTCAGCATTGCTTAGTAACACTTTGGCAGGCAGCACATGCACAACGCAAGTCTGCTGCACAGCGTCCAAGAATCAGCACACAACACTGAAGCAGAGCAGACGCAATGCAGCGCCTGTGCACACAGTGCAGAACTCGCACACAGACACATATAACATAAGCAAAGTTACAAGCACCAACGCAAGGTGCACAGGGCTCAAAAGACTGAACACAGCCAAAAAATATATATGCCAGAAACAGCTTGTTGTCGCTCGCGCTCAATCATCATGGGCTAAGATGCCCATGCCCATGCACATGATCATCTAGCGGTTCTGGGGGAACCAGATTGCTTTACCCACTTCCCAGGTAAGCTTTGACACGGATCCTTCAGTGGTGCCTCATGCCAGGAAGCACGAAGGCATGGCCTTCGCAACCTGCGAGCAGATGTTGCCACCCGCCTGCAGACGTGAGAGCCAGAGATGCAAAAGAACGTGGGCCATGGCAGTGGGGCAAGGTGTCTGGCCAACCATGGCACCGGGTTGCGCCCGTACTGCACCCTATGTGAGGCAGACTTGACTTATTACGTTGTAGGATGTGACCCTGAGCCTGCTGGAAGCAGTTCCTGTGCAAACGTTCTGCTTTTCTCTCGCTCTCGCGACTAAAGCACTCGGTTTACCAAAATGGGGCAAGATGATCCAACCCGAGACCTTGTGAGTGTAAGATTGGGGATGCCCACATTGGCCTTCCAAACCCATTGCAAAAAATATTCAGGGTGGTTTTAGCAGCAGTGGCAGCAGTGGCATTCAAGCGCAAGCCAAGGTTCGCTTTGAAGTACGGGCTGTCAGTGCTGCTGGTGGCTTGTCCCTGCGCCATGGGCTTGGCGACGCCCACGGCTGTGATGGTCTCCACAGGCCGAGAAGACGACGACGATCTTGAGTTTGTATGGACTCCAATGTTGCTTACACCCACTTGCGAATGATCGGATGAGGTTTGATCACCCGGTTTAATCCAGAGTTGAAAAGTAAACCTAGCCGGAATCACCTGTCCTTTGCCCCCCATGCATCCTCCATTCAACGAGGTAAGCGTGTCACCTAGACCCACGGCGCTTCCACGACAAGTCTTCAGACCAATAGGTCTCATCCCACTCAACCTCATGATGTCCTGCCCAGAAGCCAGAAGCCGTGAGAGCATTCAGCATTTTTGGAACTACAGGCTGCCGAAGTTAGCGAGCAGGATTTTGTGGGGGGCGATCTGACATTTGGCCTTCGCTTTCCTGCACCCAAAGGGCTGCGCATCCACCACCACTACTAGAACTGAGAGGGTGTCCCTTAAAACTTTAGATGTGCTTTAGACACTTTAGATCTTTGGACCTTAACTTTTTCGGAAACACTGGATTTTCCATTGGACCCACAAAAAGTTAAACTCTTTGCAGAGGGGTCAACAGCAAATAAACAAATGGGAGACTCCCCCATGGTTTCTCTTGGGTTTGCGTTTGGACCACCCCCTGTACCTAATGCGCGTCGCAAGGCGTGGCAGCTCGGCGGGGCATTTTTGTAAAGAGTGCCGCCTCCATGGAGCTCATGGCCAAGAAAGGCGGGGCATCGATTGAAACGCATTTGTTTGGTTTTTGTCCCACGGGGGCGATAAAAAGGGAGAAAAAGAGAGACAGAGAGAGAGAGAGAGAAGAACAAAGAGAGGGAGAGAGAGGTGGGTTGAAACTATGGTTGGGACCGTAATTTGAACAGCCTCAGGGCTACGCTTTGTTAAACCCGATTTGACCAAGCAGCAATGCAGGCAGTGTTGCAACCGCACAAGTCGAATAGAGAGAGAGTTCTGCGCTTCAGATCGGCATGGCCACCCACCCAGCCTTTGGTTGGCCAAGTCTTGTGCCACACAGAAGGCTTCACCTGCCGCAGGCGCCATCATCATGGACAAGACGGGCACGTTGACGATGGGACGCCCAGGCGTCTCGGAAGATCCGAATCAGTAGTCAGTGTCCTTCGTCATGCGACTTGATGACTTTACGATGTTCGGATCTGAGTCCATGAGCGCTTGAGTTCTGACCCCAACCCTGAGCTGTAGTGCTGTTTGTGTGTATTGCTTTTGCAAGGTCAGATGTTGCTTTTCACGTTTGCAAATCTTGCCTAGCTGCAGCAGCAGCAGCAGCAGATAGCAGCAGCTGCAAGTGGGCAGAACCGGGCAGAACAGCTATCGTCAACTTGCGACCAACCATATAGACATTCAGGAGATACCGGGAGGCCGTCCGATTGCAGCATCACCTTTCCCAAGGTTCTCAGATTCTGCGTTGCGCTTGCATTGGCAGAGTTCAGGGCCAGGTCAGAACTTTTTAGCCAACCGGATAAGTATGATCAAAGAGTTGCAGGTGCAAAAGACCATGCTGCATTGGGTCCACTTCAGCCCTATGTCGTCGCGCTTTGAGATTCAGATGGGCGCTGTCAGTATGCAGGCCTGGTGGCCATAGCTTTGCCGCGCGGGGCTTGGTCTTCAGAGGTGGCGCGCGCCACTTGGCTAAGACTTGCTCAGCTCGCGTGTTCTAAACGCGGGCTTTGCAATGGGATCCGTTTTGTCAACAAGGGGATCTCTTGCTTAGGTCACCCTCCAGCCTTGAATCGTCACCTTGTTTGCTTTGGACTATTTCAGTGCCCAAGGTACAGGGACCTCAGGGGATGAAGCGATCAGGGTGTTCTTCGCTCATTTTGTTCAAACAATAAACTCCCGAGAAGCTCATTGAGGTCTGTGATATTCAAGTGCAGACGCCGACCAAGTCCTTTCAGACCATCAGTCACCAGTTGTTTGCTGTAGTTGATTGACGTCTGGTTAAGTAGCAGCCACTTTGTGTATTTGATGCCAGGCGGTGGCTAACCTGGCTGCTGGCGGCGTGGCCAAGGCGCTGGGTTGCTACTCAAAGACGCGGAGTGAACTCTTCCACTGGTATCACACACGCACAAGATCAACCTGGACCAACTCAAGCCAAGCCTGCACCAACCCTAAGCTTGTCCCAACAGCCGATCCAACCAATCTTGAGCCAATTTGACGAAACTGAAGGCCGAATGCAACAATGCCGTCCAGTTACTGGACACCTCGAACAGGTCTGCCGCGAAAGGGATCACCTGCATTGCGAAAGGGCGGCGGTTGGAGCAAGAATTCAGAAACAAATGTTGTACACGTTCTGCACCGGGCTTCCGCGAAAAGAAACATGAGGGCCGCGAAAGGACAGTTTGGTTTGAACAGCAGAATTTCATGCTGAAATTGCTGGACTTTTGAAGGCCCTTGGTTTTTCAATGAAACCCCGACACTGGGGGGGCACAGAAAGATGGTCTCATTGTCCATGTTTGTAGGCTCGCGCTCAGCGAGCGTGAGAGGTCACCTCCGAGCCCCGAGTGCTTGAAGTGACGTCCTCCAGCTGCTTGCCCTACGATGGCGCCCAGTCGCGACTTGGCCAACAGCTTGGATGGCAGGGGTGGGGTTGCAAAGTGAGTTGGTTTGATGGGTCAGAGATAAACATCCTGCCCATAGCTGTAAAAGAGTTGGTTGGGTGGATTGGTGAGAATTAATCATCTTGCCCAAAGATGGCAGAGTACGGTAAAAATTCCCCAGCGTGGGCTGAAGGAGGGGTTACAACGCGGTGCATGTAAATATGTTGGCTGAACATTTTGTGTGGAACGCGGCATGTTTGCAACGTGTTTTTGGGGGCATGTATTTTTATCACAACATGTTTAATTTCATGCCTATGCCCAATGCGGCATTTGGCTCAAGTTTTGCATTCGTCAAGCATAGCTCGCCATTTCGTCGGGAAAAGTCCGCGGCGCTCTACACGCCGGCCGCGCGACGTCGCGCTGCTGGTTTGCTTGCTTGCTCTGCGCTGTGCTGCGCTTCTGCTTGGTTTATTCTTGTTACAAACTGGCACCCTTTTGGTTCGTGTTTGTGCCGGCCGGGGGCAACTGCTTTGCCCTTGGGACCGGGGGGATAAGGTGGTCTCTTCTTGTTGGTGGGTTAGGGCCTGTTTTATCCATCCCGAAACTCTGTTTCAAACCCTTTCGCAGGTTATCAGCCGTAGGATTCGTCCTCGGTTGGCACCGCGAACCCCATTTAATAACAACCCTGCAGGCGCCGTTTTCCATAGGCTACTGTAGGACTCATGGCGGGAATCACCGAGGATGGACCTCATGTGGTGACCGATGAGTGGGTTCTCGGCCAGGCCGGAATCTTGGACGTTGTGAATGACGACCAAGTGCCCGGACAGCCGATGTTTTCCGGTCCTGACTTTTTGTCGGACCACACTTTTTCCGAAGCAATGCCTTCAGAGAGATCCAGTGCTACTCGCACTGATGATCTATCGTCTAATGCCTCAAGAGCTAATCGCTCTCAGGGTCGTGGGACTAATCGTCCTGACCATGATGATTCCGTCTCAGGACGTGATGATGACGAGCCCGGTATTGCACCTGGAGCTCAATCCTCATCTTTCCCCGAGCTGATGAATATTGGTCAGTCCGAGGTTCGTGACTCCCGAGGCAGCAGTAGACCTGTGCCAACCAGTAGCTTAGCTTTTCAAGTGCTCGGTAATCCCGAACCTGGTACATCCAGTGGAGTTGCATGTGATGTTCATCTGCCAACCGAATCCGGTGGGCTTGATTGGAGAGCCTCATGGCCCAACGACGGAAACATTTTAGGTATGGATTTCGCCGCATGGATGCCAGGGCCGCCCGCCCCGTCATCTTTCCCGCAATTCCAAAGCCCAAAACGGGCTGCTGGAAGCGATGAATTCATGCTACCTTTGTCGATTGAGAATCTCAATCCTGATGTGGCCAGCCGTAATGTCAGGCCAAGGCCGTCGGTAAACCCGACTATGAGGAACATGTCCCCTCATTCAGGACTTTCAGGATTTGAGAGCCCTAGGGAGCGGAACATCGTAGATAGATTGGATTTGCATCCCAGTCCAACCCCGAGCAAGCGATCAAGGTCAAATTCGACTGGATCGCATAGGGCTAGGAGGATGGATCGGGAAACTGCCCTCAGGGGAACCCCCAGTACGCGGGACTCAGGACGCGGTCGATCAGGTGACCCAGCGTCGATCATTGGAAGAGACCCGTTAAACGCGGACACACTCGTTGACTTGATGGGATCGAAGCATTCCAGGAGGAATTTAATAGGTCGAGTGGCTTGAACGCACAAAGTGTTCGCCCTACGCCCAACGCGGCTTCCTTTTTCGCCCTGGACGACATGGACGGAGCTAATGTTCCGATAGAGTCCGAGTCCATGATGGCATCAAGTTCTAGTCGCAATCGCACCATCAGTAGTGCGACTGATATTGAATCGATGTCTGAATCTAGAGTGTCCAACGCGACCGATTTGAATGACATTGTTATTGCTGACTCGAGACCTGATGTTCCTATGCGAACTGATAGGCCTGTTGTTCCTAAACTGTCCGTGGCCAAAGGCCTGGGCGTGACGCAACCCTCGGCGGTTCGTGATGCTAGGAGATCTGCGCCACACCAGAGCCAATCTCCTAATCGGAGTGAGTTCCCACGGCCATCAACGGCCGTGCAGGATGATTTCAGAACTCCTCCGAGATCTAATCCAGTCATGATTGATCTGTCCACTCCTCGGGACCGTGGATCAAGGCATAGTCCAATGGGTGAAAATCAGCCAAATGAGGTTGCTGATCTTGTCACGGCCCTTGAAAGAGGGAAAGTGGACTCTTCCGTAAGTGCGATTATTCATCGCCTAGTTGCTAAGGTCGAAGACCTTGGGAATAGGAATGATAGAAGTGATCAATGCATCAGGCAACTAACCACTGAGGTCAACTCGTGGAGAACCAAGTACGACCAATGCGTCCATGTGAATAACACATGTACGCAGGCTGCAAATGCGTCAATGCAGCTGTCGCAAGGGGCTAGGGATGTCGTAACCGAGCTTGGCCAACGAGTCAAGATCATTTTCGATCGTATGACTAGCTTAGGCGACGCCCTGAGTGAACGGGCCAGCTATGACGACGTCGCTCGATCGATCGTCCAAGTCCAAACTGTTTTTGAGTCTCTTTCTGATCGAGTTGCCGAGCTTATTACTCGTGTTGAAGCAATCGAGAGATCCCTCGTGGAGAGTCAATCCAATCATCCCGCGATTGGTGGTGTGAACCTCAAAATCGAGGATCTATCCGCCAGGATATGTAGCATCGACAGGATGATGCAAAGTGCCGAACAGTGTTGGATTAGCAACACGGAAGGCATTAAGTGGGTCAAGGACCAACTCTGCGAAACGCAGACCAATTTAGAGGTCAAATCGAGGGACTGCAAGTCCTACACGGACAAGCAGAACACTCACAACATGGCTGTTTCGACTACGCTCAACAGCAAGCTTGAGCAGATGCTCAACGTGCTAAGTAGCACGGCCCAGAAAATCAGCACTCTCGAATCAAAGTACTCGAGCCATGCATCGAGTAGTGGATTGAATGATCACGCAGGGGGTAGGCGTGCCACTTCCCGTACTCCGGATAAGCGGCCACCTCCGCCTAGTCCTCCTGATGACGATCCTCCACCACCGCCTCCTCCTGACCGGCAAAGCCCGGAAAAAGAGTGCTGCCAGTGGAGATCCTGGCAACGCTGGAGAACCCAGATGTAAATACATGGGTGATGGGCGCATCCACCTCGTTGCTGAATTTCGTTGTAAAGGATGCAAAGGTGCGATTTGCGAGTACTGTTTCTCGTTCAAAGAGGATTTGTGTGAAGAATGCTCCCGCGACGGACCCCGATGCGGTGTCTGTAGGGAGAGTTCGTTCCTGACCAAGGGAATTAACTGTCAATTTTGTAAGACTTTTTACTGCACTAGGCATTCAGCTGGGCAGGACGACGGAGATTTGGATGTCAAAGGACCCTGTTGTCTTGCGTGCCTTAGAAACGAAAGCAGGAGGAGAAGGGACCCCGATGCTACTCGGATCAGGAATAGGTCCCCTGGAGGCGCGCCTGAGACGCGCCGCCTCTGCGACCACCTGTTGGTTGGTCTCGTGATGTTCCTACTGAGGGTCAGCCCAATGCGGCAAGCTCTCAGGGCGCTCCAAAGGCTGCGCCAGCTGCAGCCCTAGATAAGCGTGAAACCGGGTATTATTACGATCCTAATGGTGCAAGACCGAAGGATCCATCGGGCCTTGACCCGCCAGTCATGCGTGGTCCTGATCCTCCCGAAAGGAATTGTCGCATGTGTAATCGGGACATTCCTGACCCTAGCAAGATTGAGGATTGTAGAGTATGCATGAAAAGGGCGTGCGAAATTTGCATTCCGAAGGCTACTCGCCTATGCCCTGTGTGTGCAATGTCAATTGGTAGCTCACAGGTGCCACAGCACCTATTCGGAACAGGTGGTGGCGGATACAGTAGCCACCAGGATCCGAACTGTACCTAAATGCATTTCCATTGACCTTCCAGCAGAGCCCGACGCGGCTGGCCTGAGGGTATGGATAGCCAATATGAAGGAAGCTGTTAGCAATGCCTACAGCTATGATGGACTATACGTCATCAATTGGCTAACCGAAGTTGAGAAGGCAAAGTCCTTTGAGGAACTAAATGGAGAATGTAGATATCACGTTCTTGAAGCCAGGTTCAATGCAGCCATTCGAAAGTGCATCAGAACTGTTGCGATCATGGACAAGATCAATCGTCTCACTGAGGCTGCTCAACGCGCCAACAACCGCATCAAGAGTAGGCAGATCTTGTGGCTCTTATACGACCACTTGAGAACTGCGAACATCGGAGAGCAATCATTTAGAATAATTGAGCTCTCGAACCTGCGGTGTAGCGTTTCGACCTTCTATGCAGAGGAGGAACGACTCGAGCGATTCATCGCGAAATGGGACCACATTCTCGCGGGTCTCGATGAACCGTTGACCGAGCAGGTGAAACGGTCGCTATTCAGTGAGAAGGTCAGACACCTCAACTGTCTAGCGCGTGATATCAGGGAGCGGGATAGAAACATATCTAACCCTGATGTTTGTAGCTATGAGTGGCTTCGCGCTCGTTGTAGGAACGAGATCGACCGTTGGAGAGTGCGTAGGAATCAAGTCAATATGCACAAAGATTTCTACGAGCGAACTCCGTCCAGGGAGAGAGCCCAGAAACCTGGTGCTCCAGGCCCTCCTGTCAGGAGACGGTCGCCATTTGGGGACTCTCACAGGCCTAGTCGGCCTCCTAGCGACCAAAGAAAGAAGACTGGTAATACCCCGAGTCCGCATCAGAGGGATAGATATTCTCCGAGGAATCGGGATCAGGACAGGAGGCGTACGCCTAGCCCCAGGGGCGAAGCCCCTAGGAGGCCTAGGTCCACGTCACCAGGTGCCCCGGCGATCGATGCATGCAGGGACTTCACACGCGGGTATTGCTCGCGTGGACAAGACTCCAAATTCGCACACAACAGGACTGGGAGTTCCGATGCCAAGCGCAA